TACCACAGTGGATTTTGAAGGAGTATTTGTAAATGAAGTGGAATGTGTAAACCTGTAAATGCTCAAATCAGTGCTACCATTTCCCCAGCCGGGTTCAATACCAACGGAGTAGGTCGGATTCCTGATTTGACTCTCCATGTGTGCGGTGGTGGCGCTACTTGCCAGTGGCCCTTTTTGGCCGCTACAGAAAACATAACAGCCTTCTAAGATATACAATGATAGCGAGGGTACGGTTTTCGGAAGTGCTGACTCCGGGAACGACTTCAATCCACTGCTGATGATCTCCGTCATTGACACGCCAGCTTCAAGCCTATGATATGAGCAATGGTGTATGAGTTTGAGAAATGCTAAAAAGAGGTCGCAGACTGATTAGCTTCCATCTCATAAAAGCGCTCTCGAAGATAGCCCTGAATCTTTTTTGGATTGTTTCCTTTTTTCCATCTACTTCTTATGACAGAGGAACATTTTGCAGGCCGAAGAGCCAAGGGGTAACGAGATCGGAGAGCTAATATCATGTTAATTTATACTGATCATGGAAGGTACACTCTGCAACTGAAGAACTTGAGCGCTAGCAGAACACCGTGTGATTTGGTTTTGGAAGCCGAATAAGAAACATACCTCGCCAAGCTTGAGGTTGCAGTCTTTTCCACCGCACTCACCCAGAGGTTCTTCTGTTCGACAAGGATTCAACAGTTCACTGTCGTCAGCGATTCGCAGCGAACGACCGCCTGAAATTGTTCAGCTTGACATCTCCAAGCTATGGCGGCGGCTGATTATACAGTTCCAGATAACCAGTCTTTGGAAGCGCGCTATCACATGCTCATCACGGGCGCATTGATCTGAAGAGAACGCAGTTAGGGCCTCGGGAGGGTCACGGTCATACATCCGTGGGAACTTTCAAAAGAAGGAACGAATTTTTCCTGGGCAGTTGGAGAGGACAGCTTTTATTTCCACGGTAACTCAGTCATGAAATGTGTATATGGGGTCGGGAACTTCTTAACAAGAAATATGTAGTTCGCCTCTTTTGAAGCTGAAAGAACACTGACTATTTCAGCTGCTGTATACCACTTAGCATTTAGCGCCAAATCGTTGGATGGCAGTATTTTAGCCATAAATTCACGACTTGAACAAAAACCCGAACCCTAATTGAATGTGTTTCTTTTGTTTTGAGTTTTTCAGAATTCTCTCACGTCAGCACGCAAAATGTGATTATCGTAACTGAGGTGGTTTCCATGTCAATACACAAACAGGATCGGGTGCGAGTTTGACAGGATACGTTGCTTTTCTCCCTTTTATCGGTATCCAAATTACGGGATTAGGGACGAGATCTGGGTACAACACCTAGTACACTTACAGAGGCTTTAACCTTCAAAATTTACATCATAAATTGGATATCTAAGGGGCCACGAATCTTCGTCATACACTGGTCACTTGCTCTATGTATTTCAGAGAACTCTGACCAACACGCAGCAATCTAGTCCACTGGCTCCAGATGTCATTACTACCAGTAGATCAATGAGTTGGAAGTTTTCATGCTCTAAGCCATGGTACTTATGGAACTTACCGATAACCCCATTTGTGCGCTGTAACGAGGCCATCATTTGCTTCCACAGGTCGCATTTATCAATGGGTTGCTGTTTTGATGGAGTTGTCTGCACGTCGTACTTGAACAGAAGACCATCTGGCCAAGAGCTGTAATCAAGCGTTTTTGAGAAGGCCATGAGTACCGTAATTCTGAAGCCCTCACCTGTTGACTGTCTTCGGATGAGTGATGTACTCGACCTTTGTGTTGACGTATCGAGGGGCATAGATTGTTCCCACCGAATGTTCTAGCCATATCTTTCTGAAACAGGTTGCGCTTTCAATCTGAAAACTCAACGTCTAATTTGACGGATATCTTACCTGGAACATGTCCACAATTTCAACATAGGGAGGGCTCTTAGTGGATCCGTACTCGCTAGAATAAAGCAGAGGACGAGAATCGCGGCTGACCACTCGGATCTGCATTGGTGTCTCCACCACTCGTTCACACCTGTAATTGCCAACGGACTAATTTCAGGAGAATCGTCAAGAATGAAAAGACGCCAAGTGGATCCTATGCCAACGGACGAATTTCAGGAGAACCGTTAAAAACGAATGGACGCCATATTGCATCTTAGCACACAATAGCTACTTGCGTCAAGTTGTTTACCTTCATACCCGCTTTCGGACCCTTATTTCAAATCAGGTTTTCAAGCTTGCTAACTGATTCATTTCGAGGACTCATAAGGACTTCTGTGTGCAGCAGCCAGAATGCAACCGGAGCAGCAACGCTCCACAGCACAAAGCGGGACTGTTACCTTGAGTGAAGTACGTTAGCTCTTCTAATTGCTTGAAAAAGCGAGAACTCACTGTAACTCCGTTTCTCGTTCATATTTACTGCTACCCATTTACTATTATCTACCCACCTATCTAGGTGCAGCCTCAAAAAATGATACCGGACCACTCAGATCTACGAGTTCTATACAGTAGCACTCCTACCCTTTAGAGAACTCTATATCACATCGAGTAGATCTCCACCTTCGTCTCCTTCTGTGTAACTCGCAAATTGTTCTATTTGTTTAGTTTCTTGTGCCGTACGAGGTTTATAGGTGGAACATTTATTAGTTCGGCCTAACGTTTCGACAAAATCGTCGTCTTCTGAGGCCTAAATGCGGTTCAAGGTTAAACTTACGTTCTAATCCACCAAGCGCCTTATCTTCTCTAGCGGTTCCGACATTCCGTCAGGGAGTCCCACCGAGAAACATAAGAAAAGTTTCGAAACTCACCCCGGGGCTTCCACCGTTTGCGCAGCGTTTGCGCTACCACACAGAGACGTTACCCAGTATAAATAATGCACGCCGCATTATCCTATTTTATGAAAATGGAGCCACGTACGCATACATTCTATAACTCTCAGTGCGCGTATATACGCGAAAAATCCACTTTATGATGGGCGCTATCTCGCCGTTCATGCTGGATTTCTGGAAAAAACCCGAAATCCCCAGTGCTTTTTCTCGCGGGTATATTCCATCTCACACCGTACATTTTTATTTCAAATTCAAACGCCAGTTCCCTCGAACCATTCAATATTCAGAAAATGAGTAAGCAACTATAAACTATGACCACGGAAATACTTCCAAGAAAAAACTGTCAGTGACCGCTGCTCAAAAGGATTTAAGAATGGACCACGGTGGCTACGTTTTTTCGATGATGGTAGTCATTTTATTAGCGATTTCCCCTTGTTTGGGTGTACACTACAGAATGCCGCTTCTGAATGAAGTTTAAAACTAGAAAACAACAAATATGAATCAGGATGGCGATCGTTGTTGGATAAACCAATATATCTAAGACAGATTTACGCATGAAAATTTAGACCCATGGAAAAAGGATTAGAAGCTGACCCAGTGGAGCAGGAGCTGAAGATGAAACTCTTTAAACGGCTCAAACCTGGAGAAATGGGGACCTTCGCCCGTAGATATCGCGCATATTGCACCCTCATACACTGTGCCTCTTCAACCATACCGCTCTCTCGGCTTAGCTAACACTCGCCGCGATGGGGCCGCGAGCGGAGACAATGAATAGTCGTGGCGTACCGCGCCAACTTACGCCAAGAATGAGGCATGCTAGATCGCCAAGGTCAAATCTTTCGCTGCCAATTTCGCGTCGGTCAGCACCCTCAGGAGGTTCGCCGTTCTCTCTGTTCAATTGTGAATTACTCCTTCTTAGACCTTCATTCTTAATCGTGAATTCCTCCTTTTGGGAGTTTACTGTAGAACTCATACAAAACTCACTATCAATAGATACCTAACTTTGTATGCTCTTTTTGCCACTGGCTCTCGATTGGGCACCTTTATGATTGCTCGGAGAACAAAAACACATTCTTCAGCACACAAAAAAACACTAACCATTGGAATGATATAGGCAGTCTTTAAATTATTTGAATCAATTTCAAAGTACTACACTTGACTACACTTCATTCGAATCTCCCAGCAGCCATATTCTTGAACCAATGCAATCCATCATCAAGAACTGGTATTGCGGTGAACTTCGCTCATGGAAAGATCGACAGAGTAACACAGCAAAAATCAAATTGCCGAAGATGGCCAAGCCTTTCGTGTCCATGCCTTTGAAGGCACGGTTCGGGTTCAGCCTTGTTGGAGTATTCGCTTCTGATCAAAATATTGCGGACCTCATTGTGTTAGGGCATGCGCCGATATTCGCCACATGGAACACAGGCCAACGCTAAAGTATTGCGACGAAATCCGCGCCAGAACTATCACCACCCGGCCCGCCCATCGTTAGTAATCTTATCTGCGTCGCCATGTGATGCCTTCTCCACTCGTACTTCTCTACCCCTCTCCGCTACTACATTATCTCTCATCTCCCTGCCTGCTTCTTAGGCTCTCCGCAGCAAAGAGCAGAAAGGCCTGTTTTTCCAGTATACCCACAAATTCTTGAGTTGACAGACGTGGACACAGCGGTTAGTTATGTTTCAGAGCAATTATAGACGACAAGTCAGCCTCCCATTGCAATATGGCATAATTTTCTCCAGATTTTGCTCACCTTCCGGTCGCTACCGATCTGCTTTCGCCTGGACGACAACCGCAGTACGATCCGCTGATGCACACTTCTCCCATAGCGATCTTACAGAACTCACGACCACAAGGCAGACCGTCATTGAGTGGATGCGTCTGCACAGGTGTGTGCGTGGCCTGCTCGATTTTCTGGTCCACCTAAACGGAACCATGAACACTTCAGCGCCTGGTGACGGCATACAATAGCTGCAATAGCTGCAAGACCTACCTGGAACTCGAGACAGACACGTCCTGGCTCCTGAGGATTCGGCGATTGGTCGTAGTATCCTTCACGGCAGCTGCAGATGTAGCCATCGTCCATATCCTGGCATTCAGCATTACGATCGCAGTTATTCAGACTGCTATCGAGACATTCATTCAGTCGACAGACTCGACCAGGTTGTCCTGCAAAAAAGATTTTGTTTCGGGGAAATACTTTAGGGGTGGTCTTAACTAACCGGAAGGACTTTCATCCCGATATGGTGGCTTGCATTTGCAATCGTAGCCTCCTTCTCGATCGATGCACATGGCGTTGCGATCACAGTCGTTGAGATTCGGCGAGTCACATTCGTTGATGACTGAAGCGAATCAATCTAGAATCCCACAGGGTGTGTTACAGGTGCGGTAGAACTCACTGTAGGTGCACTGAGTTCCAGGATGAGCGCGATCGTTGTCGAAGTAGCCCTGACGGCATCGGCACTCGTACCCGTTCTTCTTTGTCGATACATTCTGCGAATCGGGAGCACGTATTGAGCGACGGATTCCGACACTCATTGATCTTGCCTCGTGCCTGAAAAGGAAGTTGAGCAAATCTTGAAGAGAGCAAGAGCCTTTTGAGACTCACAAAGACGACCAGGACGGTTACGGTCTGGCGACTTGTCGATCGTATTCACTGGACAACGACATGTGTAGCCTTCTCTCTTGTCTTCACAGATGGCCAACGAGTGGCAGTCGTTCAGAGATCGATCGAGGCATTCATTCACCTAAGAATAGGTTAGGTCAAACTCGAGAGGAGCATTGAGCAGTTATTTCGTCCTTCATGTGTGGGCAATTTTTTGGGTATCAACCTTGAACTTCAGAAAGTGAACCGACCATTTCAACGCAGATTCGGCCTGGACGTGTGTTCCGATTTGGTGACTGATCGATGTACCCATCACGACATTGACAGGTGTATTTTTCGGGACCTGACACTTCGCTACAGATGTTTTAATAAAAATCTATTACGTGGGAAAAAAGTTCTGAAACACCTCATAGCTCAATGTCGAAATTTGTTGTGCTATTCTTTATTTATTCATGGATCCTTTGTATGTCACGGTTCTATTCCATAATAATACGCGACTAGGCTTGCCTCCGTAAAGGCAAAGGCCAAGCCGTGGTGGCTCTCCATCTCAACCATGTGCTAGAAGGCATCGTCACATTGGATCGAGACCACTCCTCGCATCGCACCGCTCGTTGTTCGTAGCCTCTTCCACCAGGGTCAGGTCCTATCGTTGTTACTTTTTCAAAAATTTTTACGACCCCCCTCCCCCAAGGTGGACTTGATACGACCCCCTTTTCGACCCTCGACCACCATCCTCTCTATAGTATTTAATTCTGGTACCACTCAACCCACCAAACTCCGCCCACTTTCCTCCAAAATTGCCGTCGAGCGGAGGGTATATAGCTACTCCGAAACGGTAAAAATTTCTCGAAAATTTCCTATAATTTCCTCTTTTTCCTCCATTTCACCCCTACTTCTTACCCCAATTTTTCCTATCTTCCCTCCCACTGCTTCATTTTTAAGGGGGGGGAAGAGCGTGGAAGGGGTATATATACGCGCGCTGAAACGGCGAATTTTTCTCCCATGCGCTCCCAACTCACCTAGCCTACTACTCGTGAAAACTCCACTTTCACCACAAACTCACATGTACTTTCACGCGACTGAAGCGGATACGACCCCCCTCCTATAAACTCAACCAGGTACGACCCCCCTTGTTACTAGTAACAACGTAGGATTGACCCTGCTTTCACCCTGCAAACAGTCATTAAGACGCTACCCGCTTGAAACCTGGATCCTTCTGGGCGTCAAAATCAGTCTATTACGACACACACGCCATTGCATCGGGAGAGCTATTTCTCAGAGCTTCGCTTTCAATCTAATCAGATAAAATGACTTAATGGTATTGAGGACTTCGAATTATCCTTCTCATGGACAACAAATATCTGCCACGTCCTGTTACAGGATGAGAAAATCCTATTGTTATACATATTGTCATACCTTTTATCGAGACAGACGGGTTCCGTGAGAATGCAAAGGCGTCCCGGTTTATTCCGATCAGGGGATTTATCAACGTATCCTTGAAGGCATTCGCAAGTGTACGACTGCCCTCCAGTCGCTCTACAGGAGCCAGCTGCATGGCAATCGTTGAGATTTGGATCTTGACAAGGATGACCTAAAAGAGAACTTCACTTAAGACAGGAACAGATGAACCCCAATAACTGGAATAAAACAACTGACGAGGTGGAGGCGTCGGTGGTGGCGGAGGTTCACAGACTCGTCCACGCAGAGCTGGGTCGGGAGATCGGTCGATGAACCCTCGGATGCATTCACAACGATAGCCCCTGGCCTCATCGTAGCAAATTGCATTCCGTGAGCACGTGTTCAGCTTGGGATCTCGGCATGCGTTGTCTGAAAATCCCAGAATTTAGCGCTAAGGGTGGAGTGAAACTGATGTGCACTCACTTCTCACACAGATACGTCCCTTCTGTCCGTTCGGTGACTGATCAACATATCCCTGAATACAGGAGCACTGGTATTTGTTGCCTCCCAGTGGCTCACAGACAGCTGCTGAGCTACAGTCGTGGTTTGATGGGCAAACTTCTGAAAAGCTTCTTTATGGAAAAAAGAAAACTATTGACACTTTGAACTGATTATAGTGACAAACCTGGAGCACTGCACACGCGTCCGGGTTGACTAGCCAGATTGGGTGAACGGTCTACGTATCCCTCGCGGCACTCGCAGGTGTATCCTTCCTCCAGGTCACGACAATCCGCTTGGGCGCTGCAGGTGTGGCGTCCGGTTGAGCACTCGTCCACCTGACACATCGAAGGATCTTTGGCGATCTCTTATAAAAAGATCTTGAACTCACCAGCTTGACACAAACTCGTCCAGGGCGATGTAGTTTGTTGGGAGGATCCTGTCAACGAAGCCTGTGGGGCATTCGCATGAGAACGACTGCTCGTTGTCGTGGCAGATAGCCGACTGATCGCAGTCGTGCTTACCAGTCTCGCATTCGTTCTCAACTGGAAATTTACTCATTGAATGCTTTTTTTAAGGGTACCTGACAGGAGCCGTAAAGAGGGCCGAGACGCGACAGCTTCAGGGATGAGTCGCCGGGCGTACAGTTTGCATGATGAAAGGCTGCCTTTGGTAGTATAGCTTACATTGTACTTGACAGTGACCGAAATCAACTGCAGTACGCGCTACGACTCGTCTGTGTCTCTGCATTCTTGCCGCGTGACGGGCCTCCTGTCAGGTACACTTTTCTTGTGAAAAAGGGGTGTGGGTCAGAAAGTCCAGATTACGATAGCGCGGCAAAATGACGCCGCGCGCGAAGCAATGCAGTGAAACCACTGTATCAATTCAAGAAACGCCGTCATGTCGTCCACATGGAGTAGGTGGCAATCGTCATAGCTAAGAATTCCGATACTTTTTCCGTCTTTCCTGTTTTCCCTTTTTGTTTCCCCCCACGGAACAGGATTCTTCCAGTAACTCTTATGTAATTTTCAACCAAAATTGAATTTTCAAAGTTAATGGGGCAGAACCATATGTTATTTTCCGCTCGAGAACCAATTACCACCTAGTTGGTTTTGACGTGAAACACTACAGTAGCCGACGACAACTAGCGTGGAAAACTGCTTGTCGGCAATCATTGACGCTGCCTGAACCTCTTAGACAGATGATCCACGTTTCAGCATCAGTATAGGCACAACACGTTTACTCAGGGAAAGTGCGGCCTAGGCGAAATGTCGCTCTTGGGAATTAGGTGGAGATTACCGTTGTTATATTCGCTATGAGCCTCATCGCTCAGCTAGAAGGCATTGCGTCTGTACCGATCACAAGTCATCGTTCAGCTTGAGGGTCACGCCTTCGCTTTCACCCATCTAAAGCCACGAACTTTTGATTAATCTGATCGATGCTATGAAGGATCAATAATGGGCTCGTAAATCCACCCACATCGCCTGCAGCTCCTTCCTTTGAATTGGGGCGAAGGCGATACGTCCAGGAATCCTTCGCGACACTCACAACGATAGCCCTCCTCCTCGTCGATACATCTGAAAGGGAAGTATGCTTGCTTTGATGGGTTTGCGGTCAAGGAAGGATCGATGCCAAGCTCTACTTGCATTCCTGTCACAGGACATACACAGGAAACCGACCAAGCTGTTCACTCAACGCGGTAGCCGCAAGCACTCGTCTATGAGCTGTTTGCAAATTCTTCCTGGTCGCCCATGTGAACGACCCATGAATCCTTGATTACATCTGGAATTCAAAGAAACGTCTTCCACATCTTTGAACACCCGCCAAAATAAATGTGCCTGTTTGTTTCATGATAAGGACGGCGTCGAACTCTCATGTTGAACCGAAAGATCCGCATGTAGAGCGTTATTCTTGAGAGCGATCTGCAAGTATTCTACAGTTGGTTCTCAGCCCTTGCTAACATGCCATGAGCCTTAGGGTGCAGCAAACTCCAACTCGGGTATGGGCCTCAAAACTCTGCTTTCTGAGAGCGTTTCCCCTAATTCTTGACTATGAGAGTGCGTCATCGACCAGAGTAGAGAGACTAGAGACTAGACTTTTGGGAACCCATCCTGAGTTGGGCCTTGCTGCACTCGGCCTAGTGTTGCGAGTTATACGACAGGTTATCAGTACGATGCAGATCGTCGTTTCGGTCAAGTGGCCGTTCAGTGCCCAAATCTGCCCCAGACCAATTCCATATCCATGAGCCAAAGGAGCAAAGCTGTGGGCAAGGCTTCGATTAATTTTTTCAAAATTGGGTTCATAAAAATGTCTGAGGGATGTTCGCCTATGTGATGTATCGCAGAGTCCAGCCGATCGGCAAATTTCTTTGCTCTCAAATAATACTGATCGATAAACCGACCCTGAGTAGTGGGTAAAGAGGCGAAAATTAGATAAAATTTTTGCAAGTAGAAGGTGCTGAAAAATCTAATAAATAAATGTGGACTAGACGTCTGACAATATGGGGTGGACAGTTGAAAAATGTAGAAACTTCTAGAAAACGTGCCCTCTCTCTTTCCCATCGGATCACATTGATCTGTGGTTTGATTTTTTATTGCTAGTTTTAGAAAAGGTTACCTGCACTCGTATCCCTCCTCCTGGTCGATGCACTGGGCGTGCTGATGGCAGTCGTTCAGATGAGGGAATTGACACTCGTTCACCACTAGAGAAAACCGATTCATTCAAGCACTTCAATTATCAAAGAATTGGACTCACAGGGTTTGCACAGTCGTCCGGGTTTCTCTCCGATATCCTTGAATCCTGGCCGGCAGGCACAGGTGTATCCGGCCAACTGATCGATGCAGTCAGCAGAAGGATGACAATCAACTAGTTGTGGGAATTCGCACTCGTTGATCACTGAAATGCACATTTAGACTTGTCGAAGGGGTGTGGAAAGGGAGAAGAGGCAGTGGCTCACCTGAGCACGAGCCAGACGAATCCCTTTGGTAGTTGATAGGGCACGCGCACTTCGGCTCGCTGTTCACCAGTCGGCACACCTCGTTCAGATGTGCCTTGCACTGATTAGGACCATCAATGCGACACTTCTGGAGGAGGTGGAGTAGGACGTGGCACGCACATTCGACCTGGGTGAGTGGCCCGATTCGGGGATTGGTCCAGAAACTCCGGTTTGCATCTGCACGTGTAACCTTGTGGTAGGTCCTAGAAAAAGCATTTATGACAGCGATAGAAGAAATTAGTGTAGTCAACTTCGACTTACCTGACAGAAAGCATCACTATGACAGTCATGCTTGCCCAGTCGGCATTCATCGACGAGCGCCGGCCGGCAGATCCGCCCGGGACGACTTACGACATCTGGCGATTCATCGACAAAGTCGTCGCGGCAGCGACACTTGTAGGACTCCGGAGTGTCCATGCAGTCGGCGTTCGGAGAGCAGTCATGGCGATTCGAAGTGCATTCGTTAATTCCTGCAAAGGGTGACATAGGAACTGTAGGTGATGCTCCGAGGTGACCAACTTACGAAGTAGACACTTCCGCCCAGGACGGTTGATCGGATCTGCAGAAAGGTCGATGTGAGTAGGAGGGCAAGCGCACATGTAGCTGTCCTCTGTGTCCAGTAACAGATGGCTCTCGTGAGCCAGTCGTTTTGTCTGTTCGCGCATTCGTCTCACACTGAAATTCCAATAATAATAATTGGGTTTCCCGAACGGCTAAGCGAAGCAGCAACGTACATCGTTTGCACATTTTCTGCCCGGTCTGTTCACTTTGTCAAAGGAGACATCGAGGTAGTTGATGGCACAGCGGCAGAGGAACGAGTCTGGCGTATCCTCGCAGATGCCACCGTCACGGGCGCAATCGTCTATCCTCAGGGCGCACTCGTTTTGCACTGAAAAAGTAGAGGTACGGGAAATTTACAGGGCTGAAGTAAAAGTGGCTTACTTGGCTTGCAGAGTCTTCCTGGCTTCGAAGCGATGTTTGGCGAAATGTCCAGAAAACCTTGACGACACCTAAAAATAGGTGATAAACCTGAGGACCAGCTGAGCAGAACATCGATTTGCGACAAGCTACCTAAAGCTGCCCAGAAAGCTGCCCAAAGACTTAGACCTAGAAGACCGGTCCCTGTGCCATAATTTCTTTGCTACTATATTTATGGCGCACCCTCCATCACCAGTATCCATCGGTCAAGGGTATCCGACAAGAGACCCATCACGCGTCGAGAAGGCAGAGACACAAGTATGTAGACCAAGTCAGTGGACGAGTCGCAGCGCGTACTGTAGCGATTAATCGTCAAGGTGAAATGGAATGTAACCCATAGCAAGTCTGCGCTATGACGGTTCGTCCGCTGACCTGTTTAGCCTCCTGTCGGCCCTCCTAACTTTGTTTTGGTATAAGTAGAGCGAAATGTGGCGTCGGAAGCACTGATGTTCCCACCGTAGCAATGTGGAACAAACATAGGTATCGCGCTGAATAGCGTTTGTTGCCGCGTGGACTAAAGTACTGTCCCTGGCTACGGGTTACTTTGATGGACTTTCGACTGAATCAAACCGTCATCAAAAACCGCAACTGCCACTTTGAGTCCACAGAAAATAAGGCACCGGCTTTAACAAAAGAAACGTTGTCACATCAGTATTAGTAGCTAATTCCCATCATGTCACGATTGCTGCGAGGCCGTGCGGTTTTGATGACGTCATCGAAAGTCCCTTTCTTGGACTAGACCCTTCAAGCGTGGTTGGGACCACTTTTTAAAGCTTTTCACCGAATGATTGACGTCATGGAGATCGCAACGCCCTCCAGCCATTACTTCCTTTTATCACTCTCTTCAGCTAGTCCTCTGGGATCGCTTTCAAGGAAACTCAAGAAGCGTTTTCGACCAACCTGCACATGTAGCCTTCATCAGTGTCGGTACAAATTGCTCTGTCCGGTGAGTCACAGTCGTTTAGTGTAGGATTGTCACACTCAGGAATCACAGGGATGCACACTCGGCCTGGACGAGATGGCGATGGCGATTTGTCTTTGAAGCCCGCATGGCAGGCGCAGGTGTAGTCGTCGTCACCTAGACAGAAGGGTTCACAAACCGCTCATAAAAGCTATTCTCCCCAGATTACCTATTTGTGTGCAACGAGCATTCCTATCACAATCGTTCTTGCCGACGGAGCAGCGGTCGTTTTGGTCTTTTTCTGAAAGAAGACAATTTTCAGTTCTATTTGAGTGCTACCATAATCGATCGATAATTGATTGTTCACCTTTATGACAGCGTCGTCCCGGATTTCTGAACTCATCCATGTCGGTGTATCCAGGTCGGCAGATACAGGTGTAAGCCTCAACGGTGTCCACACAAATGGCGTTCTGGTCACAGTCGTTCAGACGTGGGGAAGAACATTCGTTCACCAACTCCTTGCATACGAGACCAGGGAAGCTAAAGGTGCGCTTTCAATTTCATAGACGAATGCGGAAATCAAACTGGGATACCTTTGCGCATTAGGCGAGTAGTCGACATATCCTGGCTTACACCTGCAGACGTAGCCCGATTCCGTGTCAGTACACAATGCATTGGGTGAGCATCTGCAAGGCTTTGAATACTATTGAATGAGATGAATCATGGTTTTGGTAAAATAATCTGAAGGTGATGGAAAAAAGGTGTGGGGATGTCTCAGATTTTGGTGAAAGATGATAGGGCAACAATCGCTATGGGACCCAGTTTACTCGCTATCTCCCACGACCGTCATCCAGTGGACAAATGAGGACGTTAGTCATTCTCTCGAGCTGTATCAGCTGCCCTCAAAACTTCATTAAGTTATTCTAGTGACATCCTAGTTCGAAAACAGCCGCTTGTTCGTGATAGCGGACAAAAGTACTGGGTAACCTATGCTTGCCATGATCTCCAAAGACCTAACTAAAACTCACGCAAGGTTATTAAAAGGATAAAGGATAAAGCATTTGCCGTTGATCAATCCCTTTTGGGATGCGGCACGCATTCTACTTCCATTTGTACATTCGTAGTGGCGTTTGAATGCGATGTGGCCTATACAATGACTTGCGGGGGCCAGCCGATGTTCAGTGTTTTTATCCTCCCAGACAAGTCTGGTACCAATTAACCGACCCCGGAGGGATGGAAGGCTTGGTTGAACTATGTATGTTTACGAATAATGTAGACGGCCAAATGCCAGACGTGAACTTCCATAGAAGTTGTGAGCGCTCAAAGTTAGCAATGAATGAAGCGTCAGCATATGAGGTGAGCACCTCATCTCATCAGAATTTTCAATTTTTTTCTCAAGCTTTGCCTATAGGGCAAATGGTGCAATAATCACGGATGTAAACTTTCATTTTTCACATAGGGGCACCTTGGGGATCAGCTTTGGCGCGACAACATATTCTTTTAGCTAACATACCTTTGTTAATCTTGATCGCTCACTTTCATGAAAAGTTCAGCAGTAAATTTTGGCGCCTCACACATTTTGTGAAAGGCAGGAATTCATGTGACCGCTATCGACACTGATAGCGGCCGTGGTAAAAGTTTGCATGATTACGTAAAGCGAGCCTTCCTCAGTTAAGAGAGCTGGAGAAGTAGATAGCCTTCGACACCTGAGTTCACGGACTCGATCAGAACGTGCCATACAGCGTATTTGGTTTGCAAATCACAGATGAAGAAAAGGCTGACAAGGGAAGGATGGTAGGTCGAAGTGGCCGTTTGAAATGAAATGTATACCTCCTGATGCGTCTCCAGACGCTGATTCCAAATCTGCCTTCCAAATCTGCTAAACGACTCTCCGAACGGAGTTATGAAGCGTAATAGCTCAGTGGTGATGGTCCGGGGTGGCAGGTAAAAGCTCGTAGGATCGGTTCCTTTGCAAGTTGGTTGCTTTGCTTTTGTCTCTAGAAGTGTTGCGGACAAAAGCAAAGCAACAAACTTGCAAAGGAACCGATCCTACGAGCTTTTACCTGCCACCCCGGACCATCACCACTGAGCTATTACGCTTCATAACTCCGTTCGGAGAGCCGTTTAGCAGATTTGGAAGGCAGATTTGGAATCAGCGTCTGGAGACGCATCAGGAGGTATATCTTTTTTTATAACGGCCACTTCGACCTACCATCCTTCCCTTGTCAGTAAAACAAAAGACAAGG